TTTATGTTTGAGAGGTCAGTCGGATTTTTTCATCTCCAGAGACTTCTTGCAGCTATAGTTCATATTTATAATTGGAGCTGAGCAATTAACACTCTTTTGAAAGCAGAGACTATCTAGGGACTCGGGGAGAAGCTTTTCCCTTCCCAAAGTAATGAGTTTTACCACTGACTTTGACACACACAGAAATCCACAGTCTGTTTTCTATGACCCAAATCCTCATAAACAGTCAAAGGAAACAGGTTTTAAAAAGCAGAAGTTTATACCCAAGCTTCTCTTGGAGACTTAAGGACAAATGGAATAAGGCAAACATGAAATAAATACATAAATCAAATAAAGCTGATCTCAGCTAGAAACCAAAGCTTTATCTGCTTTAGGTAAACTGTTAGATGCTGTTAAAATGTTGGGATGGAAGCTGACACCACACTCATTTATGGCATAAACTCTCCTCCAAATCACACAGTTAATTCAAAATTGTCATCAGCGGAAACTGTATATTTAGACAAACTTAATGTGGTCCCTTCCATACCATCACTTATCGTCAACTTTGCCTCCCTTTTACCTGCTTCTAACATTTTCACTGTGATTAAGCAGTATTTAAACTGGCATTTGTGTATCTCCCATCTTTTCACACTTGCTCATATATCTGCTGTTAAACTTGGAGAAGATGGAACAGAGACCATCTGAATTAAGTATCCACAAAGCAGCTAGTATACTGTAGTTTATGGAAAATAATGTTTTAAAATGTGTGATATGCTAAGGTATCCCTACAGGTATTTCATTTTAGAACCTGTGCATAAATATTTGAATTCAACATATGTTTCCTAGCTTGATAATCACAAATTGTCATTTCACATGGCTATTGGAACTCAAAGTGTCTGATGGCTGTGACTAACCAGGCTGAATCTAAAATGAAGAAAGCAAGCCTGAATGCCTGACAAGAGACCAGGACAGTCTCATTTTTCCATTTACGTGTTTCAAAAAAAGAGAAAAGGTATAGGCATAGAGAGGTAAAGTGGAGAAACTACAGGTTATTGAGTCTCTGTGGGATGTTCTCTACACTGAGGTTGTCTTGAAGGCCTTTTGCTTTCAAACAAAGTCATCTAGAGTCCATCAATATCATGGGTGTACACTCCTAAAATGTAAGTGATGATACAACCTGTTTTATTTCAGCACAGGATATATCACATTTTTTTCTTTCACATTCCTCTATGAAAGACAAGGCACAAAAATCAGTATTGATTTAGACTGGTTTTATCTTCTAGCACTAAGGAATAATTTTCAAGAGAATTATTTTTTAATGAACATTTTACTGTCATGTAAATTTTCTGCAGTGATGGAACATGGCACTTAACCCACTGAAAAAAAAATAGGGAAATACAAAAACATTTTGGTATTCTGTAAAAATCCACTAATTTACAAACATTAAACAGTTGCATAAAACAATTTTGAAGCTATGAGCTACTGTAAGCATAATAAAAATATTGATTTTTCCTCTGGATGAAATGAGGATATATTGAATATTTAATAATGGAAAGATTGACAGGAAACACTGATTCCAACCCAGAATGTCTAGTGAATTAAAACTATTTAACAGCAATCTAGCTGTTAACATACTAGCTAAGAATAGCTAACATACTAGCTAAGAATAGCTAACATACTAGCTAAGAATAGCTAACATACTAGCTAAGAATAAAAAACAGCCTACCAATATGTTCATGATTGCACAGATGTTATTTAATTTGTCAAAAATAAAACACTGACTTCCTATTTCCTTTGATATTCCTTTGTAAATGCTACATTAAAGAAAATGTCAGCTCAGCCTTTACAGATCTCTGAAAACAGTAAATGTTTTTATTTGGGTTTCTTACTATTTCAGAGAGAAACACGAAGAGGGGGAGGAGGAAGGAAGGAGGGAGGAGAGGAAGACAGAATGAAAAACGTTTAAAAAACTAGAACTATTTTCTCTACATTGTAAACTTCTAGTTCTGGTATGGCTGCACAATTGAATGTAATATATCCTTTTATATGTTTTCTATTCCTTTTAGCTCATTAAAAAAATTTCACAAAACACAACCCAAATTTTGTAAAGGAGAGATGGTACAGTAGGACACCACACAATTATTAGCTACCCCACACTTTAACATAAAGAACATTATAAAGATAGGCTCAAAAATGTATTTTAAAAAAACGTATTGCTTATGAAGGCTCTTATATCATCAAATAATGTACAAAACTTGCCTTTGCTCATAAAGGAACACTCTCTGGCTTTGAGTGATGAAAACTGATGAACAAAGATACACTTAACCTAACAAACAGGATACGGCTGTAGGTATTGGCAATCCCCACAATTTCAAGGGGAAAAACTGTCCTAAATCAATTGCTCACATATTCCCAGAGCTGATGTCAAAGTGTGAATCACTCAGTATGCTTTTACAGAAATTAACAGCAAGACAGATGATATAGCAGTCTACTCCAAAGTATAGAGTATATGATAATGGAGAGGAATGAAAGATAAGAATGGAAGTGGAGCCAAGTGGGGGTAAGGAGGAATGGGAAATCCTAGAGAAAGGAACAGAATTAATCTGGATATTACTGGGGTTTCCCTGAGGCAAAGAACCCAGTGTCAGTGGGTATGAGAGCATAATTGTTCTTCTGCACCATCAACACTCAGGAATTGAAGACTAACATAAGGATCACATTTGATTTGACAATGATGTGGCAGATATACACAAGGTATTGAAAGCAACCTCTTTAAAGAAGTAGGAAGTCCATGTTTCGAGGAAAGGAGAAATAATTTACAAAAAGTATCTAATGAACACAGGGCTTCAAAGAAAATAAAAAGTATCCATGCAATTCCATCTAATTTATTTCTTAGTTTCTTTAAATACAGAATACTACAATGTTATTCAGGAGACTTAGTTTATCTAGAGTATTCACTGTGAAACCGAGCTGAGTAAAGTCAGATACAGCAACTTATTTCCAACAAAAGCCAAAATTTAAAACCAGACAGATTGCTGATGGTTTTAGAGCAGATTTTTCTCTGCTCAAGGAGCAGCATTTTATTGGTCTATTGACATTATATCATTATAAGCCCTCTTGAAATGGTCAAACTGCCTACTTCCCTTAAATTAGTACAAGCCTAGCTACTTCATTATATGTCAGAAACTAAATCTTGGGAAAGTAAGGTTTAATCAGCCACACCAGGACTATAGCGCTTCCTTCCCTCACAGTAAGGCTCTCCACTACCTGCAGCAATACAACATTTATGGCTGATATAAAGTACCCTCTCATTTTCATTGTATTCAGTTGAGTTCCTTCATCACAACATTCATTCCACTCAAATATACAAACTCTTTTACTTTAAAAAACAGCATTAAGGAAAACAAGTACTATATTTCTAAACATTCAGGGACTCACAGGAGACCAAAAGGGTATATATATCTTAATACAATCTGTAGTGCTTCAGTGTCATTTTACATTGAAGGAGGTTTCAAGAACTGAAAAAGCACTAAGGACTATATGCAATCTTCTCTCAACTGAAGGAAAGAACAGAATAAAAAACCTCTCCACTATAAATAACTGATTAACATAACTGTTTCATATTCAACAGAAATTACCTAGGAATCGTAAACCATGTGACTTCACAAATTTTGGCTCCATACCTTCATAATCAATAATTTAAAATTAATTCAAGCCTTCTCCAAAAGGCTGCTGTTATTCTTATACAGTTCAAGTCATAGACAGCCCAGAGAATGAGTATCAACATCTGGTAAATCAAACATTGTGTGTTTTCAAACCCTGAATTTCCAAGCAGACACATATCTGTGACTGTTTAAGATCCTCAAAAAATAAGAATGATCATATTAAATTAATCGTCAGTGCTTCCACTGGTTTTATTTTCAGATTAGGAAGAACGTTTTTTGTAATAATTTATATATATACAGTCTTTAGAAATGTGTTTTATGTTATTTTTAAAAGGACATGTGAAAAAAAAAAATTTTGAACAAAAATTTAGAATGGATTACAGTTAGAATAACAGGCTACCAATTTAAACCACTCAAAGGTGCATCACCATATTTAGAAATAGAGCTATAAAATACAAAAAATAATTAATGACTTGAAATGAAAGTGTAATGAAAGACTAATAATTCAAAATGAGCAAGTACAAGGTCTGGAAGAACCACTCTGGAAATACCGTGGGGCAGATCCAGAAAACTGATGGTACCTTTTCCTTAAGATCTTGAATGGGCCCCTAATCACTTTCTATCAGATGACATCACAGTGACGCACATTCTGACAAATTAAGTAATTGTCATGTAATACAGGAAAGAAAATACTTTTAATGCACTCATGCAGAACTTCTGCTTGTGTACATCAACCTTCTTGAATGATACTGTCATTCTAGATGTAACACAGCGTGCCACTGTTAGTAGTCGATGCACTTTATTTATGTCTTCAACCAGCTTTTGAAACTCCTCAGGAAACAGTGCATTTCTTGCACCCGATATAATGAACGATCTGTCTTGTGCACATTTTTCAACACCCAGATGGTAGAGATACCATGTAACAAACATACTACACATATCTTTTTACCTTCATAAATAGTTCCTTGAGGCAAAAATCCCAATAAAAAGACCTCGCAAACATGTACTGTGTGATATTCCCAGTCTGTCTGGGTTTCAACACTTTCATCACCAATACAGTTTCAAAACTGAAACTTTCACAGTTGATACTGGTCAAGTTTGTTATTCCTGTTTTGAGGGAAGGCGGGTTTGAACTTCTTTTAATAAAATACCAAAGGTTATTAACAGTGTTAATGAATTCCCATTATATGTCAAAAAGCCCATCTTGATAAAACCCTGGTTATTTAGCTTACCTTAAACAGTTTAATGCTTTGTACCTGTCAACCATCATCACAATTCAGATTTCTTATACATTTCAAATATTGGAACACCTTAATAGCAAAGAATATATGAAGTATATAGGAATATACTACTCACCAATTTTAATCTTTGCAAAGGTATTCTGCTAGTTTCTATCGGTGTACGTTCTGTGATATTACCAAATCTGACTTCTGGGATGGCAATTGCACATATTACATGTGCCCACCTGTGAAAAGTGGCAAGTCAAGAATACCACCAAAAAAACCCTACAGAAGTAAAAGTGTTTAAGATGTTTCATTACTTCGTGTGTGGTTTTTTTTTTTTTTTTTTCAAAGGCAACCATCTCTAAATACTTATTAGGATTTTTTAAGATTCTTTGAAACATTTTTAACAAGCCTTACAACACTACCACTCTGTATAAATATAATTTCAGACTGAGGTTTTATTGCAACATTTTTTAATCATCTTTCATGTTCAATTTATTAAGTGCAAAGGTTTTGTAGTTGTACTATCCACATGCACATATAAAGACCATGCTATTTGATTTGTGTGCAATTTATCACCTACAGCATTTTGGATTAACACTACTCAGACCTGAGTAACTATTCTTAGGCAACACACATGATCATAATCATATATCTATCAAAATGTAAAACAAAGTATACAATCAAGACCTGTTTATAGACACAAACACATGGAAGCAACAAACTGATCAGGCTATCACTGTAATGGCCAACATGAACTGGATCCCCTTTAGCAGTGAAAGAACTTGTCAAGTGCCTAGGACTAGTACTACATGTAAGATGTCAGTGCAACTTCAGGAAGCTTGTCAGATGATGCTATGTTCTTCCTACACTCATTAGAAAGCACTGCTATGTCCCTGAAACACTGGTTCAATACATAAATCTCAAAATAATAAAGGCTAAACGAAACTAAAAAAAAGTCCCAAATGAACTGAAAGTGCATATCATATGAAGTAAAAGAGAACCTAATGACATTTTTACTAACCAAGAGTAGCCTTGTGAGACTACTTCTAAAACCTTTTTTTGAGCAGACCACTAGTAAATCTGAAGAAAAGAAAACATTTCCATTCTTTTGACTCATATTCCCTGCCATTCACTCTACATCTTCTCTCATTACCCCATTTGTTCTTTTTTGTAAGCCCTGAATGCTTGCCTCACTCCACTTTCTGTAGATCTCCAAACACACACATTTTATCAGCATTTTAGCAGATTAACAAGAATGTAAATGGAGCTAAAAAAGAATGATGCAGCAAAACAGAAATAATTTCTCTTTCGTGCAGTAGAATAGAACCTTTGACAAAAGAACCTCACCATTGACAAAAATATCTGAAGTATAATATAACAAACAGGTACTAACATGTGATGTTGAAGTTGTACTGGTCAAAGTGTGAAATAAGAACTGTATGTAAAGATGACATATCAATTAGCAAGTTATACAGTTCAGCCCAAATAAAACCACATAAAATTTATAGATCTATCATTTTATTATGGTGACAGTTTTGGTTTTGTCCTAACTTTAAAAAGTCTTGCCTTGAGACTTTTTAACTTTTAATAGCACCCTTTTCATTGCTGTCTGCCTACCTGCAAAACTACATTGTCTCACAATCTAAGCTTTATGGGACAGAAATGCTATAAATAAAATGCCTCTTCAGTAAATCTTTACCTAAACCTTTATACTCTGACATCTCTCAGTCTAAGAGGATTCAAAACAACTGCTGTGTTCTCCTGAAAAGAAGGAATCTTGGTTCTCTTTTGTAGCAAATTGCTACGCCACCACCATATTTGATTAATTATCTTTTAAATCTAAGTAATGATCATCCTATATCTCCAATCAGTATGCAAGAGGGAAAGAAGGAGGGAATGAACATGTTGCATTTCACACTTGTTGGAAAAAAAAACCTAAGTGAAACATGCTGTTCCAAAAATTCTCACGTTTGGAATGGTAGCTAATGCTGAAAGATAGATGAAAGACTCAACAATGTGTAGAACCTGTAAGGTATTATGGAAACAGGAAAACAAGAGTAGAACTACTTTTACAGAACTCTCAATTCATAAAACTGTAACAGACTGATATAATGCAGAACCAAGATTTTAGGTATAGTATGAGGAGAAAGGCACTTTCTGAAAACTTCTATAGGTTTTTTTCTAGGAATAAATCTTATGAAACATTTCTAAAACATTTTAATTGGTCTACAAAAAAGATGTTTGTATTTTCAAAGATATAACAAGCAATTCGTCATGTCCTGTTTTCAGCTGGGATAGAGCTAATGTTTTCTTCTTAGTAGCTAGAATAGTGCTGTTTTTTTGGATTCAGTATGGGATTTGGTATGAGAAGAGTGTTGATAATGCACTAATGGTTTTAGCTATTGCTAAGAAATCCGGGACTTTTCAACTTCCCATGCTAGTGTGCAGGTTCACAAGAAGCTGGGAGGGAGCACAAATAGAGCGACAGGATCATGCTCAGTATATAGATAAGGATTCACTGGGAAGCTTGTCTTTCTCTTCCAGGATTGCAGTTTCAGGACTCTCTCTTCTCTGGGATCACTAGTCAGGAACAGGTTGGACATCAGTCAGTGTGTTGTGAGCAATCACATTCTGTGATACTCATTTGTATTTTCTATTTACTACTATTCTCATTATAATTACTATTTTACTTCAATTATTAAATTGTTTTTATCTCAATCTACAAGTTTCCTTACCCTTATCCCTCCAATTCTCTACCCATCCTCCAGGCAGAGGAGGGTGAGTGAGTGACTGTCAGCCAGGTTTAAACCATGACATAGCATCAGATATCAAAAGGGTGTGCTGAATTCTACCAAGATGACACTTTCATATTGTTTTTTGTTGTTTTGTTTTTTTGTTTGTTTGTGGGGTTTTTTTTTGTGAGAAAAGCAAGAGGCAAATTTAGGGGAGTTTAAAACAGAACTAAAAAGCAGCTGCGAATTTTCATGTGTTGGTCAAAATCTCCATCAAAATAGTTACGATATAAATGCTTTCTGAAGGCAAGATCTGGCCTGTGAGTTTCACATAGAACCTTCTCCTAACTGGACAATTTGCAAGGGTAATGCAACCAATTGCAAATCACTGATAAATAAATTCTTGCCTGTTAAGTGCAAAAGAATGTTGCAGCTAGATCATCTCTTACCACTGCATTCCACAGAGTTAAAGAGATCTAAACAATATTGCTAAGTTACTAAAATAATTTCATTAATTATAACAAGATTCAATATACATAAAACTGGTTCACTACTGGGCTTGAGAAATACTCAGCTGCAGTATTTTCCACTTTATCTCTTAGGGTTTCTTGCTATAGTGTTCTGTCATGCAAACAGAAAGAAAAATGCTGATTGCTGTTAACAGCATGATGTCACCAACATTATCACTTTTGGCAGTGTATAATAGAAATATATTTTAAGAAACACTTCAAAATCTAAAATTATTTCAATCTGATTCAAATTAATTAAAAAAAATATACTGTTTCTAGAACGTCAAAGGTGTTTTAGTAATTCTGTAATGAAAAGTTTCTAGGTCCAAAGAAGAAAATACACTTTGCTGTTTGATAAGACTTGTCCATGTAAACAATGACAAATGAGGTCTCATTTACTGTCTTTACACAAAAGACAGCAGAATAAAATTTAGAACAAGTAAATGTGTGCAAGTACTAAAACAAATGTACATTTCAGCATCTAACTATTGCACCTTTAAATAGGAAAATTTTAATTCTGCAATGATTCAGCTTAAAGGGACACTGTCAAGTAATGAGGTTTACAAATGTTTTGTACATGTGAATGGATTGGGAGTAAAGTTTAAAACAAGCACATACAATCCCAAAGTACGTATTACTTACTTCTTGTCAGTAGTTTGCTTTAATGCGCCACCTCTCAAATTGCAAAGACAACATTCCTAAAAATAAAAATAGTGTAGAAAAAAAGGTTAGCTTTATTGACTGGTTAGAAATCAGTTTTATTCAGCTGATCTTAAGAATATGTAAATCGCCAATGTAATTAATTACTAGGTTACAAACTGCCACTTCTAAGATCACATTTCTTTACAGGAAAAATAGAAGAATACAGTAACAAGAAACAATTCAAATGAGCTAAATAAAAACAAATTTAAAATATTACTCATAAACAAGTGACAACATTACTTTGAAAGCGATACTAAATAAAAAGACGTTTAATCATTACTGATATAGAAAGGCTGGAATTGCCATACAAATTACTAAAATAAAACAAAGTAAAAAGACGCACAGCCACTTTACTAGAAGTTACTGAGAAACTGACTCAGAAGCCATTGACCCAAGTCAAATATCTGCTTGTTCCTGACAGTTCTCAAATTTATAAATCTACCAGAATATGGGGTACGTTACTCATATTATACTTTTTTTTTTTTGGAAAAATACTTCCCTTTGCTGAAGTAAATGTTCACTGCCATGGTCTTCAGTACAACTCCATCTGCTTTCATGGCACTCAGCAAGGTATATTTCAGTGGTTCCCAGATACTATGCCAAACACAGCTTTTCCTACCTCTACTTAAAACTGTGCCTTTGAACAGATGATATACAGGCTTTTCTGCTTTCCAACCCTTCTCTCCCCCTCTTCAGTCTCCTCCTTTTCTGAATCTATATTTTCCCTTTTTTTCCACTTTTTTCCCTTGTTCCTTCTGGACCAGATGTTTCCAATCTTAGTTATTTTTCTCCCTGTCTTCATTTTTCTGGTCTCTACAAAGAAGTGCACAAAGTGGTCAAGATATCCTGTGACTGTATATCTATACTCAGAAAGAGAGCTTGTCTCCTGAATCTCTAAATTTACAGAATCACAGAATTGTCTATGTTGCAAAAGACCTTGAGGATCATACAGTCCAACCATTAACCTAACACTGACAGTTCCCAACTACACCAGATCACCCAGCACTATGTCAACCCGACTCTGAAACCCCTCCAGGGATGGGGACTCCACCACTGCCCTGGGCAGCCCATTCCAACGCCCAACAACCCCTTCTGGAAAGAAATGCTTCCTAATAGCCAGTCTAAACCTTCCCTGGAGCAACTTGAGGCCATTCCCTCTTGTCCTGTCACTTGTTACTTGGTTCAAGAGACCCATCCCCAGCTCTCTGCAACCTCCTTTCAGGTAGCTGTAGAGGGCGATGAGGTCTCCCCTCAGCCTCCTCTTCTCCAGACTAAACCCTCCCAGTTCCCTCAGCTGCTCCCCGTACGACCTGTGCTCGAGACCCTGCACCAACTTCGTTGCCCTTCTCTGGACACGCTCGAGTCATTCAATGTCCTTTTTGGAGTGAGGGGCCCAAAACTGAACACAGGAATCGAGGGGCGGCCTCCCCAGTGCCAGTACAGGGGTCAGATCCCTTCCCTGTCCCTGCTGGCCATGCTATTGCTGACACAAGCCAGGATGCCATTGGCCTTCTTGGCCACCTGGGCACACTGCTGGCTCCTGTTCATCGGGCTGTCAATCAACCCCCCCAGGTCCCTCTCTGACTGGCAGCTCTCCAGCCACTCCTCCCCAAGCCTGTGCTGCTGGGGGTTGTTGTGGCCCAAGGGCAGCCCCCGGCATTTGGCCTTATTGACACTCCCCCAGTTGGGCTCAGCCCATGGCTCCAGCCTGCCCAGGTCTCTCTGCAGAGCCTCCCTACCCTCGAGCAGATCAACACTCCCACCCAACTTGGGGTCACCTGCAAACTGACTGAGGGTGCACTCGATCCCCTCGTCTAGATCATCAGTAAAGATGTTAAACAGGAGTGGCCCCAACACCCAGCCCTGGGGGACACCACTCGTGACCGGCCGCCAACTGGATTTAACTCCGTTCACCACAACTCTCTGGGCCCGGCCATCCAGACAGTTTTTTCCCCAGCAAAGCGTGTGCCCATCCAAGCCACAAGCAGCCAGTTTCACCAGGAGAATGCTGTGGGAAATGGTGACAAAGGCCTTACTTAATTCAAGGTAGACAACATCCACAGCCTTTCCCTCACCCAATAATCAGGTCACCCTGTCGTAGAAGGAGATCAGGTTTGTCAGGCAGGACCTGCCTTTCACAAACCCATGCTGACTGGGCCTGAGCATCTGGTTGTCCCACATGTGCTGTGTGATGGTACTCAGGATGAGCAGGGGAAAACAAACAACAAAAACAGAACCCCAAAGAACTATAATGTAATCCTCAATCATGAGGATTATCAATGTCTTCCAGAAATCTAACTGAATGAATTACTATACTTCCTATGAGAGAGATCTTTCCTTACTAGAAAATATTTCCTTGTCACAACTGAAACTTCTTTGCAATTTAAGCACATCAATTTTTTGCCTTACCTACCAAAGCCATGGAAACAGGTAACCCATCCTCATAAGAGAGTACCCTTTTAACTATTTAATATTATTGTAGAGTTGTGAAGAACAGAGTTGACTTTCATTACTTTAACCACAAGACCCTTGGCACAAGTTTCAGTTCACAGTTTCCTTTACAGTAAACATTAACAAAAAAACCCCAAAAGCTCAAAATACCCATTTCTTCAGGTATTCAAAGGGCACTGAGCAGGAACAGCTAGTTTCAGCATATAAAGAAGAAAAATGAAATGTCAGGAGGCTGCTATTGCAGCATGGAGTGGGACCTTCAGCACATATTGTTTCTAGCTTTGGGTAGCTTCTTCAATAGAGAATACAGCTCAGAAGTGAAAGGGTATAACTGCATAGGATTTCTCAGTTTGGCTGTTGGAGAATAAGTAAAACTGTTTCTTCCAGAACCAACGCTTATATTCAATTAGCTGCATCTTTGTGAGGTTCTCTTGCTGCTTCTTAGGAAACCTGCTCTTGTATCAAGCCCACCACAAGACCAAAGCTCACTGCAGGTGGAGGGGCAGTGGTGAGAACAGTGGAAGGGAGAACACAGGAGTGAGTAAGGGATGGAGCGAGACAGGGAGAGAGGGAAAATTATTTCTTCTCTTTCTCCCCTAAGTGCCCACAGTCCTGAAGGTAAAGCAAAATGGCAGGAATCAGAATTACTCTAATACTATTTACTCTTCCATTTCTCTGTCAAAGAGAGATCAAGACAAGAAACTCCACGTCATTCTAGATTCACATGTCAAATTCAGTCTAATGTACTACCTTCTATTTTAGTTTCAAATCATTACTCTTTGAGATGCTGTTCAACAACTGTATCACCCCTTTCTTTCCTATACATAATTATTATCTTCCAACTTTTTATAGATTTTTTATGATACCCTAACCTCATGGTGTATTTTTTGCCAAGCTATATAGACTAAATTCCCTTAACTACTCTTCAAGGTGATTCAAATCATCTTCACAATCTCCTTCTGTCTGTTGTCCTTCTTTGAATATCATGATAACTGTCATCTACACAGGTATATTCTCAAGCTGTGAGAAGAAGCATTACTGTCTTTCTTAACCTGAATATATTTTGGTTTTGATAAAATATCAGTCAATTGGAAAATTTACTGAACTATATGTGTGAAGACTTTCCTAAACTGGATGCTAAGAAATTATATTATTAAGGCTTTATACACATTAATTCACCATGTTAGAATTGTTCTGAAACAATACAACAAAAATTCCACAAAACAGTTAATGGGCACAGTGCACTGTTTCTAGTAAAGCACCACTACAGTCATGGGAAATTTTCTTATAATTGACATTCAGTTCTCAAAGGCAATGTACATTGCATATTGTATATGAAAACGAGCATGAAACAGTCTGCAGGTCTTTAAATCTACCAGATCTACCCGGGAATCCTCAGCACTACCACAGAGTAATCCTACAGCACTGCATCCTTTTCAAACGGATTCACCTTAGAATCTTGCTTACAAATCAGCAAAGATCTGTTTCTTCAACTCTTTTTTAACATTCATCTCCACAACATTCTAGAATTACAAAAGAAAACTCTCTCTTCCAGTATCTGTATAAAGTAAGACATCTCCATACAATTCACAAGTCTTAGGACACTAACATTCACTTCACCTTTTAGCTTTTTAGTGAAGATGATGCATTTTTTTTCATAAGAATACAGTTTCTGGACCAAACACTTCCCCTGGCTTACAGTGAAACTGAATTTTGCAACCAGCATTCCTAGTCTGGTTTATTTTTAATTTCTGTTTCAACCACTGCTAGAAATCACACAAAAAGCCTGAAGTCAATGTGAGTTAACCATGCTTCCTTTGGTACATACATCCAAAAGATGGACCATCTTTTTTGGAATCATATGCCACTACTCAGGCATAGCTGCATATTAATTATTGTTGCATGGATAAATACTACACAAAACTCAAGCCTGTTCACAGTCATTTATAATTTAAAATGAATGCATTTGGTTGTCTTTGAGCATATTTTACACTTTGCCAAAATTCAAAGTTATATTGACAGCAATGCTTATAAAAAGCAGTTTTCACACTTCCATATTTGCATATTTACTTTGTCAGTAATAGCATTCTGTATGACACAGGAAGTTGCCTGACACAGCAAGGCAATAGTGTTCAGCCAAGCCATAGCAGAGGGTTATATAGTAAGTCATATAAGGATTATTCTTATGGACAACTATGAACATGCCTCACACGATCCCCTTTTTTGTTAACCTGCTGTTTCTCCTTTCCTATTAAGAAATTATAACAGCATCTCCAAATAATTTATCCAGTTAAATGAAATATGTAACTTATGTTGGTGAAGACAGGGTAAAATAAAATGTATGTTATTCCTAATTAATTTTGTCTGACACATTTTCAACTTCCTCATAGAATGTAATAGTCTCCATAATCAGCCTAACAATCTCTTCCAGCTCTTTGACATCACTGCCATTAGGACATTTTTTGTAACAGCTAACCTGATGATTTCCTGCTGTAACTTAAGCCTTTCTACTTTATGCATCATAAATACATAAAAAAAAAAAAAA